CAAACAAAAAAAGTGTCTCACGTTTAAGTACAAGTGAATGTGACAACTGGTTAGACCATAAGTGCCAATGATTGGGACCAGATGTGGTGACAATAGACAAAATGATTTGATAATTGCAATGCAAATGTTGACACAATTGTCGGTACAGTAATACTAATGAAGGATTGATTGTATTGTTAGACAAGTGTTTCAATGCTTATAAACAATGAAGCATTGGATGAGTGATGCGTTTGCGCTCTCTTTCAATGCATTCAGTGTTTAAATGTTTGGATACTTAACAGACATTTCACTCATTTGTGTTGCATTTCAATTGAATCCCAATTATCTTTCATTTGGTCCATCATCTGGTGGACACATTCGGCCACAAGTGATGGATGACGAGAGTCTGCGACATAATGTGATAATGATATTGTTGGACGTGTTGATGACTAGTGAACAAAGACCTGTCACCGTGAAGGAGTTGGTCAGCAAATTAGGTCTGTATAGCGACTACAGTATCCTCAGCCGTGGTCTCAGACGCATCACCGGTCGCGGTGTCGACGGACTTCCGGTCAGTCATTCACCACCAATTCAATGCACCAAACATTGTGTCAATCATTTTGTAATGTCTTTTTCAGGGAATTCTAGTCTTCTTATGGCAATACCCGTCCATATTTACCGTAAGAGACGGAAATGTGTCCATCACTTCGGCACTTGATCTCTACGATAGTGACAAACAGGTGTCCCAACAGATGTCAGTTGCCATTGATTTCTATGAATTTCAATTGCGAAGACTCGGCGCCTATTCGGTGCCAATGAGTCGCGTCTTTGATATGAGATCCCAGGCCTCCAGATGTGTGAAACAAATCAGTGGACAGTCTATCAGCCAATTGACTGATTTCCTGAAATGCCATTCGGATGTGTTCACGATCACTGCCGACGACTGTGTGGTGCTATGCGAGCACCTGAAGAGGGCGACCATCAATGGGCACACAATCACACGAATCGATGCGCCGATTGAGTTGGACGACAAGGTCTACGAAAACACGCGAATCATTGTCAACACATATCACGGCAAACAAATTGTGGACCAAATCTTTCAGACCACTAATGTGGTGACCGTCGACTTGGAGGGCGTCAACTTGGGCTCAGTTCGCGGCTCCATAACTCTGGTTCAGTTGGCTTTCCTGCCCCGACATCTCATGAGCCACCAAAAGAGCAATGGCCTCAACACTGGCGGTCGCGTATATCCCAAGATATTTATATTCGACGTCTGGTCTAATCCTAATTTAGTTGACTTGTGTCTCAAACAACTCTTGGAGTCAAATGATATTAAGAAAGTATTTCACGGCTGCGAAGACGACAGTTATGCTCTGCAACCAAGATATTTATATTCGACGTCTGGTCTAATCCTAATTTAGTTGACTTGTGTCTCAAACAACTCTTGGAGTCAAATGATATTAAGAAAGTATTTCACGGCTGCGAAGACGACAGTTATGCTCTGCATCGGGACTTCGGAGTGGTTTTGAGTAATTTCATTGACACTCAAGCGGCCCATACTGTCATCAATTGTATAAACAACTCCGGCAGTGGTCAACAGTCGGAAGCCATTGGTTTGAACGGACTCTTCGAGCTGTACGGCGGCTATGGATGCAATCCATTGAAGGCTGTTGTGAAGAAGAGATACGTCGGGAACAGTCATTACTGGTGTAACCGTCCGCTCTCCGAAGAGATGATATATTACGCCGCATATGATGTCTATGTCTTATTAGGGATTTATATCAAAATGTATTCATATATTTCACAAATCAGTGGACAAAACGCTAAATATTTCGAAGAACTCAATAGAAAAGCGGCTTTCAGTAGGATTTGGGCCGAACAGGACAGGCATTACGACAGACCTAATCACTACCACTACAGAGATTCCACTCAAGTAGTCCGTCCCCGACGCGGACAACACTTCCCACACAAAAGACAATACAATAACAATAGGAGTAAAACCTATCGATAGTTCTGCCAAAAAAACTCTTAACACAATTATTAACAATTTTTGTATAATTTAAATTAATTTTATTCTTAAGATTATATTAAAAAGTTTTTTAATCTTATAATTATTTGAGTAAATCTAATATATTTTCATTGTTTACAAAATTATTATATATTTATAAGAATAAAATAATCAATTATATTAAACTCAATTAAAAATTGAAATTTTAAATAGTATTTTGGTTTTTATTTAAAAGATAATGCATTTAACATTTTATTGTCTGGTCTAAATTACTGGTACAGTATTTGTTAAACAATAATTCTTTACATTTAAATGAACAATACTATCCACAATATTTTACGGTAAAGTACTAACAAATAAGTTAACGTAAGTATGTTGATAATTCTGTAAGCCATTTAGCCTCATATTTTATGTTACTATTAATTGCCCATTCAATCTCTTAATGGTAAAATAAATTGCTAGAATTCATTTAAATGCATAAAACTACTGTATTTTTCAATTACTGATTCAATACTGAATTTTGAAAATAAAAAACAAATAAGATATGAAAACGTTTATGAAATACTTTATTTTTATAAAAAAAATATATAATAATTGTACAAAACAAAAATGAGATATAAATTATTAGATGATTTTGTATAGTTCAATATAATTAAGGATTTTCATACACAAATATGAGAATAATTTATTCACTTTTATTGCTTTTACTCATAATCTGATTGTTGTTATGACTTCTGTAGCAATAATGAAAGGTTTCTTTGTTGGTATACTTGAATGGCTTAACCAAATAGGTTCGGATGAAAAAGTTGACGAAAAGCATGAAAAATAAATAGTAAAGACCCAAACCAGTGGTCACTACAGACACGGATAAATCGCAGGGCAGGCCATTGATCTTGAACTGAAAGGCGCGGATATTGACGTAAAAGCCGAAAACCATTTGTAAGATTTGCGTTAAAGTTATAAATTTGGCAATCATTGGATGGATTGGAAATCTGAGCGCTTTTAGTGCATAATATGTATACATCATTGAATGGATTACGAAATTCATGTTAACCATCCATCGGGCAGTGGCCGGGATGTCCGCGTAGACGTACCAACTGTAGCATAGGGTCAGGCAGTGATGAATCCAATGAAGTTTTATTAACTTCTGTTTGCGAAATATTATGAAAAAGGTATCGCCAAGTTCCACCACTTTTGATATTACAAAGAGCCAGTACCAAAACACCAATCTTATATCCTGTAATTACAGCAATATATCAATATATGAATGCATTACACCTTCAATATCTCACTAGTGTTTCAAATTATGTTTAAAAATAGATATTACTATTACACCGTACAGTACACTATTGTATAGTTTATATTGTATTGTTAAATAAATTTGAATAATTTTTAAATTTTGTACATTTTGGTGCATATCTTAATTTTGACAAATCAATACTTATAAATTATAAGTTATAATACAAGTTTGTGTTTACTTGTTAGTCAAACGGAGAGTAAAAGTACTGCTAAAATATAAAACACGGATTTTTGACCCAAAAAAGTTTTGATGTTTTTGAAAGTAATTAAAAGAGAATTAGCTTTGGGTAGAAATATTTTCAAAACACCAGTAAATCTTATATATTTTGACAATTATTTTGTATTTTTAAATATAGAATTCACTAGGGAAATACAGTAGTTAACTAGTGCTTAGAGTCTTATATTGCTATAGTTTATCATCTATTAATTTTCCTAATGAATCTAGTTAGTATTAGTATTATTTAGCTTATTATTAGTCTGTATTATTTCAGACCTATTTCTATTAAGCTATGTATTNTTATATATTTTGACAATTATTTTGTATTTTTAAATATAGAATTCACTAGGGAAATACAGTAGTTAACTAGTGCTTAGAGTCTTATATTGCTATAGTTTATCATCTATTAATTTTCCTAATGAATCTACTTATTTAGCTTATTATATTTCAGACCTATTTCAATTAGGCTATGTATTAAAAACAGATTATGTTTTCTGTTTGTCTCATTGTCGGTATTTAAAATAACTAATGAGCTAATATTGTAACAGTCTTACTTTATGATTGCACATTATAGTTCTAAAATTTTTCAGTTA